CGGACAGGCTGGAGGAGACACATGGTGTTTCCCTCTCTCAGGTCCCAGCGCGGGGTGACACACGGTGCTGCTGCTGTCTGTACACCACAGCACTGAGGGGACATCTTACTGCTGACACGTTACAGTAAACAGGATACGACCAAGTCACATTCTTCTGCAGACACCAGTCAATCACCACAGCTTGGGAAATCACACTTAAAGGTTGTGCTAAAAGGCTTTCTCCATGTAGAATGGGTTTAATGTCACTCCATCTTAAATCAAACTGCCCTACCCTGAAGTGGGGAAAGCATAAACTTTTCTTACAAAACCAATCTCTTTCTATTATCTGCATTTTAAAACAACCCCATGGGCATTTACTGTATTGCCACTATTTTTCTGCTACATGCTCTGGATACTCAGTAACTAATGGAAATATTGGGCGAGTCTAGATTCAACTCCTTCTGCACCCAAAACTCTTGACTCTGCCACTGTGAAGCTAATGAAGAGCCACCTCAGGTACAGGCTGGAGATGACCCGCAGCCAGCACTGGCTGAGCAGGCTGCTGTCACCCTGTGTGCTTGCAAGGAGGGTGTACACGGCTTTTCTGCAAAATTTCACGAGTGATGCAAATTAATTCAAACCCAGGAGCCACATCTAAGAGAAGGGTTAGTCAGATTAACCCCTGAGCATGATTGCAAAAACAACACGGGACAGAGATAAAAGATTTCCAGACACATCAGAGCTCAAGAGTTCAGCTGTTTGCACGGTGCTAGCTCAGTTCTTCATCCCAGGTCTAAAATGTGCAGAAAAAGCAATTTCCCAGACTTTCCATTACAGCTGCCCGGCCCCAGAGACAGGCGCGCAGGATGTCCCTTCGGGAAGGAAGTCTGCTGGAAACAGAAGGAGGAAGAGGAGTGGTGAGGCAGCACTCAGGAAAACCATGAAATGTACTGATTTCTGCATCCTGTGTTTGTGACCTTAAAAATAGTTCTTAAGCAAAGACGGAGTTTATTTCTGAATCAAAAGCAGGCTGCAGTTCAGAAAAAAGCGCTGCAGCTTCTGCTTTCAGCAAGGCTTTCCTGCCTCTACCAGAGCGGGTCTGAAAGCCACAGAGAGCAGCAGTAAGTGGAAAGGGAGTCCGGCCCCTTTCATGCATCGTATCAGAGCGGATTAAAGTGTTGGCTTCTAGCATGCCTGGAGTCCTGGGAAAATGACACAGCCAGCATCCGATAATCCGCTCCAAACTTGTTGATTTGTGGGACTTAGCCATCATCTTCATAGGCTCAAAATTTGGCAGTTGTTCCCACACAACTGACGTTTTCAGGCCATTAAAGTCTGTGATAAAAGGGCTCTAGTTTTATCTCTTGCCTTTCTTAACATAAACCATTAGGCTTTTATTAACATTTAGGTATGACTCAGGGAAATCTCTGATTGCAGAGAGAATATTCAAAATATTTTGGATATTGTCCGAAGAGAATGGCAGGACATGGACTCAAAGTTGAACAGCACAGAGAGGCTAAAACGCAACGTGGAAATATTGTATAGACACTGTAGGAAGATGGGCAGAGTGAGAGATGGTGGCAAGCCAGCCCGGCTGCGTTACAAACCCTCCTCTGTGCCGGGCAGAGCCCCGGCTGGCCGAGAAACCCCTCCCAGGCAGAGCCCATTCATCCCGGACCCCATCCCCAGCAGTTTGTACACACAATCATGCGTTTATCTGCTGGAGTATCGCAACCAGAGCTGTCAAAACCAGACTTTTTGGGATGCCTGGAGGAAAATGTCATCCTCAGAAGAGGACTCTACTGTTAAGGCACTTGAGGCGTAAGCAGTCTCTAATTGTAGTGCTGCCACAAGGGCAGACATTATTACAAAGCTCCTCTAACTTCTCAACATATTTTCCAGGCAATGGGAGGCAAA